CATATAAAATTTGCCATGTCAGGTGGGCGATATAAATGCAATTTTTATATTATGTACTTCTATTATACAATTGTGTTGAAAATTAAAAACAAAATTGTTGCTTAGAGTAAGCAGTTTCAAATATTCCATGTATGTGGTTTATTTCATTTTTTAAATATAAGCTGATTTCTGTTGATTCCTGACTGAATAACTGTACAAATTATCTTAGTTTATTTAACTTACGCAAAATAAAACAGTTTTCCTTAATTCTTTTTTTAAATATTAATCTTGTCAGTTATATTTTAAATGAACACCCTGCGACAAAAAAATGATTAGTTAAAGGTTATGTTGACACTGATTTACATCCAATTGATCACCCAAAGCTTACCAAAGCCAACTCTAAATCACCTTCATTTTCCATCGTACGGTATATGTTTGTAATACAGAAAATTTTCACAATTCCATACGTAAAAATACCCAGTGCCTATTAATGTTTGGGATTTTTTGTAAGGTTGACAACCTGCCATCTTTCCACCACCGTTTGTTACGCGCTCGTATGCGAAAAGTGTCAACTCGAACTGACACACTGGCATTGCTGCCAATAATTCAGAATTACCAACACAAAAATTTGCTTCAATCATCACGAGTTACCCGGTACTTCTAACCTTATGGTACCATATGATCGAAAAAAATCTTGACAAGTGTGCTTTGGATTTTATTAAATAATAATAACAATAATAATGAAAATGTTGGTATGTAGTGTCATTATTTTTGACTGACGTTATTAAAATCTGTCAATTCGATGTTGTATGATACAGAATGAAGGTCGATTTATAAACTTTGGGCGGAGCCAAATTACAAAATCGATATTTCCTTATACAAATTTTCTGTTTTAAGCATGTTTTATGTTTCATCTTGAAAAAAAGAAGTCTACACATATTAAAACAAAATGGCAAAACGTAAGCCCGCCCACCCGCCGTGTCTCAATTGTGATGATTTTTTTTTATTCGCCCTGAACCAAGGGCACGGAACTTAACTGCAAACTACTTATTTCTTTACAAGAAATTAAAAACATGTTTTTGAGTCTCGTGTTGTTCAAAGAATACTATGTATATTAAGGAAAATAAAGGCAAAATATAACCCCCTCCTCTCACTTGTGATGATTTTTTTTTATTCTTAGAAACTTAAAACACGTTTAAAATTGTAAATTTTTGTAAGGAAATATGGATTTTGCAATTAGACTCCGCCCCCAAGTCTGCCAACTAATAAAAACTTCATTACTATTTAGATCAAAGCAGGTATGGGTGGGGGTTAATCTTTTGCTTTAATTTTTTCTTAATATATGTACATAGTATTCTTTGAATGACACGATATTCAAAAACATGTTTTACATGGTAATTTCTTGTAGAGAAATAATAAAGATTTTGCAATTAAATTCCGCTCCTTTGGCTCTCGACGATTAAAAAAAATCATCATAATTGAGATAGGGCGGGTGGGCGAGCTATATTTCGCCTTTTTTTTTTAAATATACGTAGCCGTTTGTTCAGAACAAGAAACTTAAAACATGTTTAAAATGGTAAATTCTTGTAGACAAATATGGATCTTGCAATTAAGCCCTGTATGACAACGAATGAAAAATCCATCACAGTTGAGAATTGAGATCGGGGCGGATATGGGTGGGACCTAACCTTTGGCTTTATTTTTTTCTTAACATACATAGTATTCTTTGAATACGATACACACAAACATGTTTTTAATTTCTCGTAGAGAATGAAGGATTTTGCAGTTAAGCTCCGTCTTCTTGGCTCTCAACGAATAAAAAAAATATATTATGCCTTTTTTTTCTTAATATGTGTAGACTTATTTCGACATCAAGAAACTTAAAACATGTCTAAAATGGTAAAGGTTTGTAGTAATCAACTTAAACCATGGCCGACTAGTATAAAGATTATGGCCTGTCCAAAGGTACCATACGTGCTGCCATCTATTAATAATTCAAAAACGACAAAAGAATTATTAACACTTTTTGAAAGGCACAAAGGCATTCATACCGAAACAAACGACCATTACAAGTTTTGAAGTCTCATAATGTCAAATCAAATTAAAATTTTGCTAAATTATTAAGTGTAATTATTAATAGATGGCAACACATATGATACCTCTTGGACAGGCCATAATCTTTATACTAGTCGGCCATGCTTAAACTTAACCCCTTTAAATATTGCAAAAGTTGACATTGATTTACATAACTTCAAAATATAAACATAACACTTATCATACGGAAATAAAAAAAATCCAAAGCACGCTTGACACATTTTTTTCAATCGTATGGTAGGTTCATCCAAAAATTTAGCAAGAACTTTGTTAAAAACCTACATTGGCCTATATTCCTTCCCTTTAATTAATATTTACAAACGTTCCTTGAATTTTTCCTCTTTCTCTGGTAGCTTTTATCGTATTTTGTCTCTCATTCTAATCAAAATTTTAGATAATGAACGACTTTACGAAAGGACAAGCATATTACCCATTTTTTCTATTGTAAATTTTGTACAGGCTTTCATTAATGTTTGATATCTACAGTTAAATCCATAAGGTTGTAACCACTCGTTAAATTGTAAGGTTGGCATTACAGCCAATGGTGTTTTTCACATGAACAGATTGGTAGCGGCGCATATGTCAAAATTTGACAATTACGCACGAGAGAGTTTTATTTAAATATCTCACAGTTTGTTATTAAACCATACCATTGAAAAATGGTACCGACACGGCATATTGTGGTAAATAAGCAGATGAAAATGGCACTTGCCAACTGCCACAATGAATTGAAACTTGCTTATCCCCAAGCATCCTCCCGAGAACTTGAATTCAAGCTTGTAAAAATCTTTTCAGTATGTAGTTATTCTTATACCATGGAAAGAGAGTACTATACTATGAGAGTAACGTATCGACATTCGGAACTTTTTTCATGTTATTACAACATGGTGGTATGTCGAAGGACTTTTAGTTTTAACTATCTCAAGTTGAAAGTGTATATCTCGCTTTTTAGTACAACATTGTCTTTTCAAGTTTTATACCCACTCTTTATATCCTACACAATACAACTAAATGTCCCTCATTAAATTCAAGCACTGCATACTTTCCCTGTAAACTTATCATTAATTCCTATCCTTTCCATAGTGTTCTCGATGTCAAGCCCACAAAATTATAACCCAACACCAATCTGGAGAACCGTTACAAGAAGCAAAGTGGAAACCAAAACAAAAATCGCAGTGGTATTCAAATTTGGAACTTAAAGAAGATCTAACCTACCGTATATTTGACAAAAACAAAAAAAATGAGTTTTTTACTCTTCAGGATTTGTTTATTTTTGCGAAAGAACATCCAGAATATACAGCAAGTTTAAATACTTTACGTTGAGTATTAAAATCCATGGGATTCAGATTTAAGAAAGTTAACAACAGAAAAATAATTGCTTTTTGGTTATTTGGTCTATGTGTTCCCAATGTTTCTAACCACTCCTGTAACAGTAAGTTTAAATAAGCCGTCAAATTATTTTCAACATACCTATTATTTTAGCCTCTGAATTTTGTGAAGTTACATTTTGTTCATTATTACCACTAAAATCGTCAGGACGGAGGAGCATAGCCAGACCTATCGCCTTCAACCAAATCCCTTGTACATTTTGTAAATAATAAGTAGTACCAAATATTAGAGTTATTAAACATAACATTAAAGACTTGTTGGTGTCCCATTTTTTTGATGAAAAATTGGTCATCCATTGCAACTAATTAAGGTGATCTACCCATTATAGACAATTTTGGTGTTGCTCGCGAGATTGATCATTTCAGTCGAGAGAGCTGATCCTTCGAGTCATAGTTAGCCACACATATAATTATCACGTATACTCATGTACCATGGTAGAAGGAGACATGGTATAGGCATACGCATCGGGTGTGACGTCAAGTGGGGTGAAATTAGCGCGAAATTTAAAATACAATTCGTTATCCGACAACTAATTGACGTATTGGACAGAGCAATGACAACTCAAGCTGAAATTCCCTAGACTTCCCTAGCGAAGCTCACAAGAATCACAAGGTCGTTGATGCCACCTAACGTCACAAATGGATGCGCAGACCATTTTTAAATTGGTACATCGGATGCCTATACCATGTCTCCTTGTACCATGCTCATGTACAATAATTTAAACAAATTCTGAATATGTCAGTTATTCCCCATCTGTAAAGTAATTTTTATGAAGCAGCAACAATAAATAAATCAATTCACCTTGTTTTTTTACCAGCCCAATATTTGATTTCATTCGTGACCACAATATTTTTGGGTTCATTTTATCGTAATTCGTAAACGTATCGACTGCAAGTCTAAATTACAGCAGGTGGCATTCTTTCTACAGATGAAAGATAAAACACGTTTCTACAGGGTGTCCCAGAATTCGCGCCATTCCCGTGAATGACATGTTCCCTGTCCCGAACTGTGCCGTAATTCGCAAAAAGAATTGTCCAGGCTTTAACCGTGTGAGAACTGGAAGGCGATTAAGTTGACCAATAGAGAGGCTGCTTTTATATCCGAACGTTTCTATGTTCAAAGTTACCTATGCCAAGAACAAAAAATCGGGTAATACTAAAGTTGAATGAATTTTTTCCGAATCCCCCTCCGTCAACAAAAGGAAACAGAAGTGTGGTTATAAATTTAATCATTTTGACAATTGTTTGTCATAAACTGTCACGAAGTTCATCACTGACCTGAAGAGATGCTTCTGCGCCAAAGATGACTGATTAATATACACAGAGACGTCAAGGTTTACTTTAAGGCAAGTAGCATGGGACAGAAGTTATTTCTGCTGCCATTCTAGTTAAATTGTGTTTAACTGGGCTGTACATGTCATAAGAGAAGCTGTTTCATTTCATCGTAGGCAAGTAATACATTTGTTACTATTCTACATAGTGTAGATACCGAAGAGCAGGTATTAGAAGTCATTTTCTTAGAGCCCCGTGAATAATGTGTTGTTCTTTTTAACGAAAATTAGTACATTTTCAGAATTCACTATGCATCATATGCCTGATATTAAGTTTATCGTTATTTCTAAAAAAGAGTACCACATGTCCATTCAAAGAACGTTATTAAGTGTACTAAAACATAAATATCGCTTTTGATTAATCGGTGCTTATGATTTTCAATAAACAGTATCAATTTTTACTGAACAGCTTTGTTGCTGATACCTAATCTAAGCAACGAAAAAAGAGACGAGATTCCACTTCTCTGGTGTATTAAGATCATAGGTATGTGCTGTGGTGTCAATCATGTGGGGGAGATACTGAAAACTGAGACTTATTCAAGAATAATATTGATGTTGCACATGATGATTCAAAACAGTTTCTTTAAAGTTGTGAGTACTTTCTAGAGATTGAAAAGATACGAATAAAAATTATAACAAAAATCGTTTAGTTGCAATTTTTGTTAAGAACAATACAAACTATAAACAAATCAGTACCAATACCACTAAGTTATTGATGTCTTATTCATACTAGTATAAAGAATATTTGGAAATGATGTTAATTTATGGAGAATGTAAGGCGATCAGGTAACACAAACGGCCCCACTTAAAAAAACAGGAACGGAGTTTAGTGATAATTTTATCAGATGCATTAAAATTTTTACCACAGTAGTACCATTGATATATTCCAGCCCATAGATTAATAGTAAATCGCTCCTGATATGCTCTCACCCTAGTGAGATGTGGATTTGCGTGTGCCCAGAAATGCCAATTGTGTGCATTAAACATTCCTTCTCGGGAAAATGAACATTCGTCGGTGAAAAGAATGCGCAGTGTAAAATCAGGGTTTAGTTCATTTTGTCGCAGTAACCATTGAGCAAAATGTACTCGTCGCGGGTAGTCGGTTGGTCGCAGATGCTGCACTCTCGTGTAATGGTAAGGATGCAGTCTTCTCTCTTGAAGAATACGATGAGTGGTCGATCTTGAGCATCCACTCATTTGCGCTACGTAGAGGACACTTCTCCTAGGATCCGCTTCCATGTTTTCTAACACTTGCTCTTCAGCACCTACACGTACATTCCGTAGAGCCCCAGCACGGCCTTTCCGACTAGGTTGAAAAGATCCATCTTCTCTTGCTCGATGTAACAATCGGTGAAACACATGTTGGTCTAGGTGCCGACGATTATTCACGGGGCTCTAAGAAAATGACTTCTAATACCTGCTCTTCGGTAGCTACTCTATGTAGAATAGTAATAAATGTATTATTTGCCTACGATGAAATGAAACAGATTCTCTTATGACATGTATAGTCCAGTTAAACACAATTTAACTAGAATGGCAGCAGAAATAACTTCTGTCCCATGCTACTTGCCTTAAAGTAAACCTTGATGTCTCTGTGTACATTAATCAGTCATCTTTGGCGCAGAAGCGTCTCTTCAGGTCAGTGATAAACTTCGTGACAGTTTATGACAAACAATTGTCAAAATGATTAAATTTATAACCACATTTCTGTTTCCTTTTGTTGACGGAGGGGGATTCGGAAAAAAATTCATTCAACTTTAGTATTACCCGATTTTTTGTTCTTGGCATAGGTAACTTTGAACATAGAAACGTTCGGAGATAAAAGCAGCCTCTCTATTGGTCAACTTAATCGCCTTCCAGTTCTCACACGGTTAAATCCTGGACAATTCTTTTTGCGAATTACGGCACAGTTCGGGACAGGGAACATGTCATTCACGGGAATGGCGCGAATTCTGGGACACCCTGTATTTATCGTTGCTCTTGTATTATAATTACCATGAAGACTCAGGTTATCCTGTTTTTATTGAAAATTGTTTATCAGTTTTTACAATATTGCGACAAGTTACAATGATAATTATGAAATAACCTGTGCAGGAGTGCAAGAATTGCAGTGAAGTCGAACGTAATCATGTGTCGCGAATACATGAATGAACTGACATTATATTGACAGGTCACCAAATATGTCACCAGGTTATTAAAAGACAGATTTACACTGAATAATTTTTAAAAATTTACACTAGGGAGTGGTTACAACCTTATGGATTTGAGTTTAGTAAGCCATGCATTTTGAAAATCAGTTGGTACTTTCTACGCATCACTACTGCTTTATCGTAAAATTCTAATACGTCAACTAAACTGCCAGTAGTACCAACTTATAAATATAATGTGCGCCCCACTAGATGTCAAGCATTAATGAAAGCCCTGTATTACTGCATTTTGGAAGCAAGCAACTCCAAAAGAAAAAAAAAGTTATTGTTATATTCATTTCTATTAAAACTGGTATCAATTTTAGAATATTCCTGAACAGAATTTATTTTACATAATCATTCATTGTATAATTTGCTTCCGTTCAGTGATTTGAGCAGTGAGTCGAGAAAAAAATATCCCGCATACAAGTTCTGTAATGCTTTTCTTTTGGCGGTAACTGTTTAAAAGGCTGAAAAAATTTGTAAAAACGTAAACACCTCCCTCCCTGAATAAATACATTACTAATTGAATCGTACTCGTTTTATTTACATGCGACGAGGTTTTTCTCTTATTAGTACGTAATTATGGAGATTAAAACAAAACAAACAAAAAAAACACATGCCCGTATTCAGTATCAAAGAGTTTGTAAATGAGATGTGATGAGAAACCTTTTCATGTTGTTTAAACTTTGTAACTGAAATTTTCTATCTGCTATAGGCATTCAATTTTAAACTTGACTGCCCACAATATAAAAAGCAAAATATTATTTTATCAGTTCTCTTATATACAGGGTGTCCCAGAATTCGCGCCATTCCCGTGAATGACATGTTCCCTGTCCCGAACTCTGCCGTAATTCGCAAAAAGAATTGTCCAGGCTTTAACCGTGTGAGAACGGGAAGGCGCTTAAGTTGACCAATAGAGAGGCTGCTTTTATATCCGAACGTTTCTATGTTCAAAGTTACCTATGCCAAGAACAAAAAATCGGGTAATACTAAAGTTGAATGAATTTTTTCCGAATCCCCCTCCGTCAACAAAAGGAAACAGAAGTGTGGTTATAAATTTAATCATTTTGACAATTGTTTGTCATAAACTGTCACGAAGTTCATCACTGACCTGAAGAGACACTTCTACGCCAAAGATGACTGATTAATGTACACAGAGACGTCAAGGTTTAGTTTGAGGCAAGTAGCATGGGACAGAAGTTATTTCTGCTGCCATTCTAGTTAAATTGTGTTTAACTGGGCTGTACATGTCATAAGAGAAGCTGTTTCATTTCATCGTAGGCAAATAATACATTTATTACTGTTCTACATAGTGTAGATACCGAAGAGCAGGTATTAGAAGTCATTTTCTTAGAGCCCCGTGAGTAATGTGTTGTTATTTTTAACGAAAATTAGTACATTTTCAGAATTTACTCTGCATCATATCCCTGATATTAAGTTTATCGTTATTTCTAAAAAAGAGTACCGCATGTCCATTCAAAGAACGTTATTTAGTGTACTAAAACATAAATATCGCTTTTGATTAATCGGTGCTTATGATTTTCAATAAACAGTATCAATTTTTACTGAACAGCTTTGTTGCTGATACCTAATCTAAGCAACGAAAAAAGAGACGAGACTCCAGTTCTCTGGTGTATTAAGATCATAGGTATCTGCTGTGGTGTCAATCATGTGGGGGAGATACTGAAAACTGAGACTTATTCAAGAATAATATTGATGTTGCACATGATGATTTAAAACAGTTTCTTTAAAGTTGCGAGTACTTTCTAGAGAGTGAAAAGATACGAATAAAAATTATAACAAAAATCGTGTAGTTGCATTTTTTTTTAAGAACAATACAAACTATAAACAAATCAGTACCAATACCACTAAGTCACTGATGTCTTATTCATACTAGTATAAAGAATATTTGGAAATGATGTTAATTTATGGAGAATGTAAACGCTATGCAGCCACTGCTGTGTGCGAATATACAGGTCTTTTCCCCAATCATCGGCTCCTTGACCAGCATGTGAATATTTAATGCGCACAACTGGCACTTCTGGGCAAACGAAAATCCACATTTAGCTAACGTGAGAGCATATCAAGAGCAATACTATTAATCTATGGGCCGGAATCTTTGTACTGTAACGTTATTAAAAAATGTGCTCAAAATGATCACCATTAACTTCAATGCCAGTTCTAGCTCGTCGCATTATGTTGTGTTGTATATTATTTAACATAGATAGATAGACTCTTTTCAATGTTCGCCGTGCAAGTATCGAATTATGTGGAGGAGCGCCGTTGTGCTGAAACCACATATTCCGCCGTACATTCAAAGGAACGTCTTCCAACAACGCCGGAAGCTCTAGTCGTAGAAAATTAGCATATGCCTCCCCATTAAGGTGATCAGGTAACACAAACGGCCCCACCTAAAAAACAGGAACGGAGTTTAGTGATTTTATCAGATGCATTAAAATTTTTACCACAGTAGCACCAATGATTCCAGCCCATAGATTAATATTAAATCGCTCCTGATACGCTCTCACCCTAGTGAGATGTGGATTTTCGTGTGCCCAGAAGTGCCAATTGTGTGCATTAAACATTCCTTCTCGGGAAAATGAACATTCGTCGGTGAAAAGAATGCGCCGTGAAAAATCAGGATTTAGTTCATTTTGTCGCAAAAACCATTGAGCAAAATGTACTCGTCGCGGGTAGTCGGTTGGTCGCAGATGCTGCACTCTCGTGTAATGGTAAGGATGCAGTATTCTCTCTTGAAGGGTACGATGAGTGGTCGATCTTGAGCATCCACTCATTTGCGCTACATAGAGGACACTTCTCCTAGGATCCGCTTCCATGTTTTCTAACACTTGCTCTTCAGCACCCACACGTACATTCCGTGGAGCCCCAGCACGGCCTTTCCGACTAGGTTGAAAAGATCCATCTTCACTTGCTCGATGTAACAATCGGTGAAACACTTGTTGGTCTGGGTGCCGACGATTATTCACGGGGCTCTAAGAAAATGACTTCTAATACCTGCTCTTCGGTAGCTACTCTATGTAGAATAGTAATAAATGTATTATTTGCCTACGATGAAATGAAACAGCTTCTCTTATGACATGTACAGCCCAGTTAAACACAATTTAACTAGAATGGCAGCAGAAATAACTTCTGTCCCATGCTACTTGCCTTAAAGTAAACGTCTCTGTCTCTGTGTACCTTAATCAGTCATCTTTGGCGCAGAAGCGTCTCTTCAGGTCAGTGATGAACTTCGTGACAGTTTATGACAAACAATTGTCAAAATGATTAAATTTATAACCACACTTCTGTTTCCTTTCGTTGACGGAGGGGGATTCGGAAAAAAATCATTCAACTTTAGTATTACCCGATTTTTTGTTCTTGGCATAGGTAACTTTGAACATAGAAACGTTCGGATATAAAAGCAGCCTCTCTATTGGTCAACTTAATCGCCTTCCAGTTCTCACACGGTTAAAGCCTGGACAATTCTTTTTGCGAATTACGGCACAGTTCGGGACAGGGAACATGTCATTCACGGGAATGGCGCGAATTCTGGGACACCCTGTATATTACACATCAATCAAAAACCAAGTAGGAGCGATCCACTTTCCAACACTGTTGTTATGTTCTTTTATTTCTCGTCTAATTTATATTTTCATAAAAAAATTTCAGTTCTCTCTTCCACCCTTTGTGATTAAAATGTGTGTAAACGTAATGACAAAAAATAAATTGTTTATGTAACGTTATTTTAACAAACAAGATATTTTTAATGTGGAGAAGAGTAGAAATTTAGGAGTGTAATAAAAAAATAAAGATATTCTACGTTTACTGAAAAGCCAATAACTTTTTCGCTGGTGGTATTTTCCGTGTTTACACAGACTCAGAAACGCACTACAACAGAAATAATTCCGTTGGAAAGACAAACATGTGTTACGTCATTTGTTGTATGTATGGCTCTTTCAACTTATAGTGACTTAAAATTAAGTAACAATTTGCAAACTGTTAAAAATGGAAATTTGCCATTTCAAGCTATTTGTCATTATTTATAATTTGAACCAAAATAAAGAAAAAATGACTCACTTGTTCAGCCTTCATCCTTTCAGTAGTGGTCTCTATGTGGTGTTGTACTGCTAAATAAACAAATTTATATTGGGCTTCAGTCTGTACCATCCCAGAACGTTGGGATCTAACCATTTGTATTGTGCGTTGTATATCTATTTCACAGTCTAAACCTAAACAAAATCACCACCGTCATCGAGAGTTACTCACAAAAGTGAAAAACCTACCATACTTCTTAAGCTGGTCCAATATCATATCAATAACAATAAATGTGCCTGTTCTTCCAATACCGGCAGAACAATGCACTAAAATAGCACCTGGGGGATTATCTGGAAGCTCTTGCTGCAGACTCTCTTGTCTCTTATTAACCTCATGAAGAAAATTTAATACACAGCCTGGGTCTGACGGCACGCCATGATCTGGCCATGCCTGAAAGAGCGACCTTAATGTTTGGAGACACCTCAATAGAACAATCTTACCTGAAAATGGTATTGAAAAACTTTTCTCTCGCAATTCAATCCATCCATGCTAACTAAAAACTCTCTCAACGTGTAGTGGGGGCTGGACGATTCCATCAACATTTTAACTTTGATTTTTCCGTACTCTTTCGTTCCTTGATCAGGCCAGTACCTCGCACACTTAGTTTTGCCCCTTTCAGTCTCTTTCGTGGTCATTACTATTACTCTACAATTTTCCTGCCAGACCATCTGCCAAAAATCGGCGATCGTAGAAGGTAAACAGCCTTGCGTTGCAATATAAACTTTTCCACTGGGATCACTTCCTAATTCGTTCGCCCCACTGTAATCAGCTTTCCATCTGATGTAGTTAGCGTTAATATAATCAGAACCTGGCACGTTGGGGTCCACATCTTTTAACTTCACTCTGGTATCGTCGACTAAATTAAGGACGTTAAATTGGTTCCGGTTACTCCTATACTATACTTACAAGGCAATATATTCTTATATCTATTTTTGTTTCGGTTTTCCGGCTTAACGCCCTCTTTTCTGGAATACAGATGTTTAAATTCTTGTTGTTGCAACGACTCGAACTCCTCCCAAAAGCCGGCTTTGCCCATCCCGTTCGGCCCATTCTCGCTCTTAAATCACTCCAGTCAAGTCATTTATCTAAGAAGTATGTCGCACTTACCTGCAGTTGTTTGACTCTTGAGTGAATCCCTGAAGCATTAATTCTGGTAGCATTGAAAGGTTGTTTTAGATGGACAACCGTCCCTGAAGTTTCTACCATTGGGTTCTTTTTGTAATACTCAATGAGTTCCGCTAAACTATCGAATTTCTCCCCTCCTCCAACATCGTATCGGTTATCCTATAAAGTTACCATAGAATGCCGGACTCGGATGTCCATGATCACTTACCGAATATCTAATCATGACATGAGTCACTTTATCGTCGGTTCTAACAGAAAGAACGAAATCGCCCGGAGCCGACTGACTTTCTCTGACTAAAAAGCTTCCATTTTTACCCCTGTCTAAAATTAGTTTTTCTGCTTCCTTTCCTGACAGGTGTCCATGAAACCATCTGCAAATGAAAATATGGCTTTGATGCGCATTCTACGTACACAATAACTTAAGTTTTTATGGCACGCATTTGCATATTCATAAGTTTTAATTAATATGGGTATTGAACGATCGCATTACGTAACGAAAACATACTTTTGCACTTTTAGATTTAAAATTACGGCTACTGGCACCAATTTGCTTGCACTTATGCACCGACTTAACGAGACTGGCGCAGATATCTTTCGAATTATGTTTATTACGTGCGATTTTTCACGTAACTAATAAAAATGCACATACGAAATGAACCCAACTATCAGTACTACAGTCGTTCGAGCTACAATAAAAGCACAAAAAATACCTTACATACTTGTAGCAGTGGAATAATATTTGCGATGTAGATAACATAAGCAATTTGCATCAAATACTTGAACTATACGCATAAAATGAATATAAATTTCAACTTGTCGCCTAATTGCAACAGGATTACACCTTACGGAATCCCACTTGAATATTGAGAAGGCTGTTCCATCTAATGAAATCCTCCCAACACACTTTTATGTGTTTACATAATATTGTGGACCGCGTAAACAAATACCTGTTTGTTTACATTTTACAGCTTTTAGGTGAACAATATTGGTTCATTAAACAACAACATAATTGCCTTGCTATAATGGGGGAGAAAAAATTGTTTTGTAATATTTCACACCGTTAGCACATCCTTATCATTCTTTGAGCCATCGCGTGATTGTCACTCATTTTTTTTTTTTATTGTACAGACGTAAACTTCCACAGGTGATTTATGCCGGTGAAACCACATCAACTTAATTAGTGCGTTAAAAACCGTGGCATTTTTAACATGAGAATTGCGATGTTGCATTTTAACAGAATTAATTGAATGTATAATTACAGGTATGAGAAACCCGCTACAGTTCATGTAGGTGCATTGTGCGAATAAATTTACCCGAAATAGAAAGGTTTACCCCGGTTCACACTATTACTACATTATACGGGTTCTTTGCGTAATGTAGGTGAAGATTAATTTAATTTCTAACCTAGAGCCACATTTTCATGTTAAATTGACTTGGATTACTCGAGAAGATGAAATTAGAACTTGTAAATTTACATATTTCACAAATACGCGAACCTTAATGTGAGACTAAAATATGGACCGGTTGGTTTAATCTCATAATCTATTGTATCTAAATAAAATTGAATCGGTGGATTACAGTTAACGACGATATAAATTCACGTAATATAAAGTTCTGGCCATATTTTAACCATTTGGTAATTATGCGAAACAAGTGGGCGTCATCAAAAATACGTCCCACTGAAAGATTTCGAAGATAAATCATTGGTAACATAATAATGAAAAACGTGTTAGTGACGTACCACTTATTACACCAAGCTGAAACATTGACTTTTTTTACAATAACAGACTCCATAAAAGTAATGGTAATGAATAAACAAATATCTGTGGTTTTATTACTGACCATCACGCCATAAGAAGCTACATGATGCATATTTATCGTTGTGGTCAATGGCGATTAATACTCTTGAAACATATTAACGATTTTAATTTTTCATTTCTGTGATAACTGTTAATTAAAGATCGCGATAGATAGTGGTAGAAGTTAAAAAAAACTTTGGTAATTAATCGTATACCAGGTGTCTTTGATTTTATTTCCTCTTGTATCACTGAATTGCAACTATGGCGTAAAAGCTAATTTTATTATTAAATTAAAAGCAATTCTTTTAATTGGTTTTAAACAAGTTTTGAAATAGCTAAAATTTTATACGTTATACATAAGCACGTTATCGTACTCGTATTGTAATTCAACTCGGCTAAGGTCTCGTTTCATATTCGAATATTTCACCTGCGACCTAACAACTATTAGCAATGTTAACTGAATATATCGATGCAAAATAATTCAATTTTTAAGCGTCACGTCACAAACTTGTTTACGCCCGGTCTACTCTCATGTCGTATGAATTTGACATTGTAAATATTCAAGTACAAAACAGAAAAAAATTACCATTTATTTGCATACAATTTTTCTAAATTACGTGCATTTAACTTGTTTTTAAACTTAACTTTTAAAGCATATCAATATTTCAACTAACAAAATTGACATTTTTTGAGACACCAGTACAGTTAGAAGTACACAATTTACACAGGAAAAGTGCAGTCAAGTGCAAAAACTGCAAATTTACAAAAAAGGTCACAATCAAAACTTTGCAATACTTACACGTGTTTCACGCAAGGCTTTCCTCCCCTCAACTTTTTTATCTCTAAGGATAAACTGCTAAAATTCAGAAAAGCCATTCGTAAAGAATATTTAAGTATTATTAGACCGCACAACATTTTTTAAGAAATGTTTCTGAATTTATAACAGAAACACGCTTTCCGAACTTGGACCTAGACTAATTTTCTAGAGATTCGAGGTTTCACCCACTTTCGTAATTCAGGAATTTGGGACCAAGAAGAACCGAAACGTTTGGGATAGAAAACTATCGTTCTCTCAAAATTTTCATGTCTTATTTCCAAAGCCCCGAAGATCCTCTGACGAAAGTTGGCGAAACGTCGACTCTTTCCAAAATTAACACGGTCTAAACTTGGAAAACGTCTTTCTGTTATTAATCCAGGCCGTGAAAGCTTTCGATTCCATTGTTTAACTAAATTGTATTATATTACATTGTATTATTTACAAGAATTTAGGATTTCGGTACGTAAGAAGTTGTAGAGATCAATTTGGAGGTAAAAACAAAGAAAACCACTTTAATTTTAAAAGCGAAGCAAGCAAAAATGATACACGTAATTTTATGCAACTGTTTCATAATTTTTTTACAAGAGAGACATTTACATAAAAGTGCTTAAAATAGATAGTTTTAGTAGATTCATGACGGCAAGCTTAGTTTAGAAGCAACATTAAAAATAATCAGCTAATTTAATCTTCCTAAGAGTTTTTATATCAGTCAGAAGAATGGATTGCTAATTCTTAAACAGTATTTTCGTTCCAGTAACAAATATTTCCTTTGAATCTCAAAAGGCGGCCGCCTTCATAAAATTTAAACGGCGTTTCGATTGTTTCTCACGGTGGCGAATACTTTACGTAAGTTTTTTATAATACAAAATTTTCTATGATTTTCTTTTTGTGTGCTGTGACCTTAGCTCGAAATAAATTAAATAATTGAAAACAATACAAAAAACGGTGTTAAATAGCTGCTATTGTGCATAATTAAAAAAATGCAAAAAAAAATGTTTGCTTTAAATAATATGTGAAAATCATCAGAACTGTGTTCGTGATTTAAATACTTTTCTACAATGCGTAATAAAGAAGAAGGTTGCGAATAACAAGATCAACTATTCCACATTTTTGTTCATTTCATTCAAGCCAGGGTCAAGATACCTGCATAAATAAAATCCAAACACTACAAGGTGGGGTTGAATGCTTAATGTGAAAGGTCGAATTTTTGCTCTAGCAAACATTTAAAAACTGTAAAACTGAGTTCTGAAAGATTCTAGATAATGGGAAAAATCTCACCTACACTAATGTCTTTATTTAGTGTAAATAGCCCTCGGCTTCATACCGTCGCCACTGAATTAGTTACTACTCCCATATTTGGTCGGCTCGATTTAACTACTTTTTGTGTACTTTTAGTTATGATGTCACTGAAAGAAATGGTCACGAGTACAAATTCGGAGTGAAGAGTTACTGCACAAATAGGTAACTGAGAGAATTGAAACACGCATCAGTGCCATTGACAAAAAAGACCGTGACCTCATATTTAAATACTCAACAACTTATTTCATACGTCAGGTTGATAGTTCCTGTCTTTTTAAAACGAAGGTGAAATTTTTAATGTTAAAGTGCTAGAAAAATCCCAACACAAAACCGCGAAAGATAATCTTAGTAAGCGGAAGTTTTAAAAATAATAAAATTAAGATTGCAATCGAAAGGTTCTCATGCATATTATTAACACTTTTTTGCGTTTTTCACATTATGTAATGCAGAACGACAAGCTCATCCAATTAGCATTTAATACGTTGCGCAAAAATATTTACAACCATGTAAGAACCGGAGGAATTTCTCGTCCATCGATTACGCAGAAAAATGTGACATTTAACTAAAAAAAGGGACAAAAGTATACATAAAAGCTGAAAGCTTACTTAAATAAAAGAAGAGCTTTTCTGAATTCCTTCAAAGCGGTGGAAAAAATTATCTGTGCTGCGGGAACTGCAATAACTGATGCGTCTGCCGCAAAATAATTTCGTGTCATTTCAAAATAGAAAACAAAGGAATTTGGTCACACAAAACACATTGAAAAACTACTATTACTACTACTATAATACAGAAAAATAGTAGAAATTAATGTAGTATTTCGAGCACCTGAACACTGCGAAGACAAAAAACACACTGGTTTAGTTTTAGTTATGTCGCGAAACTCATCAACAATGCTGCTGCTGTTCCATATAGTGGGGAAGACGCCTTCGGACACCTCGCAAGAGACGCGATTCTCGACCTAGACACTGGATCGATTATTGTTATTATTGAATAATAAAGTAGAAAACAGTGGGGCATATAAATTGCTCGGCATTTTTTCACCCAGCACACCCTGTCTCCAATAAAAAGAGTTCATTCTAGGAAATCTAGAACAGAAAAGCGTTAACGCCCAGACTTTTGTTGGAATTATCATTTTTTAATGTTGTCTTTTATTTATTTTTCGTAGGACGTGAAGGAAAAAAGGTTACTTTAATTGACATCCTAACTAATGGTGTGGTTTGAAAATTGTGCGCAATTAGTCTACAGATCTAGTTGGAGAGATATTTTAATGACAGGTTACTTTTTGCACCATAATAAATTCAAATAATAAATGACTTTGTCAACAAATTAAATTTAATAAGACATTTTTACTACTTCAACAACCATTGTGCAATTCAAGTAATTAAATCATTTTTATTCAATACGGACATGGTGTTAATCTATCACGCTGATTACGTTAATTGCAAGCTTTAATTAA